CAGCCATGCTGGCTGGGGAATTCTGGGAGTTGAAGTCCACACATCTTCAAGCTGCCAAGGTTGAGAAACACTGGTCTAATATATACAAACTTGCCAGTTTCCATTACTTCTCTAACATACTCCATTTTATGCCCATCTTTGCAGCCCTTTGGTGTCCTGTTTGGATGACTGTCATCTGTGGGATTTTTTAATTCCAAAAATGTTTTATATTTTCTGCAAATATGGTTCGCCAAGACTTACTGGTGTTTCCCTTTTCTGCATAAGTGGGATTCAAAAGGGGGAGATACAAGTTATGAGGCCAGATTTAGTTCTAGAAAGTGGATCAGTCCTGTGCTTTAAATGTCTGTTGCAGATCCTGCAAAGGCCTGTATGAGATTAAATTCCTGCCTGCAAGTTGGAGTTTCTGTTTGTCAGTGATCCATCTGGCCTGATTCTGATTCTCTGACTTTTACTCTGGATGGGCTCGCACTTCCCCCAAAGGAGCAGGCCCCTGATTTGAGAGTCCTCCTTGATGTGTGATTTCTGCTACAACAACAAGAAGCTTCACCATGCTTTGGGGGGAATCCCAGTTGTCAGCCTTCGTAGCCTAAGACACTCTGGCCACAGTCATTCACGCTGTTGTCATTTTCTGTATAGACTATGTAACATGCTTTACGTGGGGCTGCCTACTTCAGCCTATCTCCTAACTGGGGGTAGCAGATTCAGCAGGTCCCTCCTGCTGTTCCTACACTGGTTCCAAGTTTGCTTCTGGGTCCAAGTGAAAAGTTCTGGTTATCGTCTTTAAAACTTTACATAGCTTGGGATCTGAGTAATTTTGAGAACATAATTCCCACCCAAATTCAACCTGACCCATGCATTCTTGGAGGGAAGGTATGCTCAGATTCCCCATCCTGCCAGAGAGGAGGCAGTGGCGGGGGGCACTACCTTTTCGGGAGCATCCTGTGCTCTTTGGAACACCCACCCAAGATGAGGAATGCCCTCCAGCTGCTGATCTTCAAGAAGGATTGGAGAACTCTGCAGAATGTGGGAACCCATGGTATTAAGGCTGTCTGAGGTGGTTAGGTTAGGCTAGTTCAGTGTTGTCCAAACTTGGTCACTTTAAGATGAGTGGACTTCAACTCCCAGAATTCCCC